GGGGTTGTCATGGTTTGCAAGAGTACCCCCCCACACGCACACACTATTGCATAATGTGCAATGCCACAGCTATTCTGAATGTACTGCTGTAAGCCTACTGTAGAAGGTTTCTTTGGTGAGTTTATACTGACTTCAACAAAAGTTAAAGGACCACCTTGACAGACTGCCCTGATTTTTAAAAATTCAGAAAAAAGACAGCCAAGAATGTTTCAAATGTTTTTGCTCTGAAAGTGTTAATGGGTTACCAATGGATAATGCAAAGCTTCCTAGAGGGGCAAAACCACCATATGCAGCACGGAAATCCTCGGGAAATTTTAGCCAAATTTGCTGTTTTTATCGACTTGTGTGCAACACAACGGACATTTCTCAGTTAAAATTTCTGGTGCACATCATAAACGGACGTATGGTCTTGAAGTGTGCTCACTTTGATGACAATATAAGCTGCCGTTTGCGCAAAATCCAGTATCGCATCAATATACCACCGAGATGAAAGCTGAGAGACTTCAATTGTGCCAGAGCTATGGCATGGCTGCAGTATTGAGTTGGAGCCAGAGAAGTTGTCAGAAGGCTTGCAGTGTCGCACTCTGTCATTGTTCGCTTGAGGCAGCACCATCAAGCCACTGGATCAGTCCAAGAACGCCCACATACAGGTCAACCCAAGAAAACCACTCAGAGTGTTTGCAAGTGGTCCTTAACTTATGTTGAAGTCTGCAGTTATATTATGTTTGAGTTGAGATTTTGTGAGAAAACCTTGTGTGGGTTAATATATATATAATTCCTATAATTTTAATTTTAACTGAAAAGTTAAGATACATTGAAATGAGTTTTCAACAGCAAATAAGAGGGCATTTTTCAGCACTAATAATGTATAACAGTTGATGAAATTCTTTTATATGAAAGATATACAATCTGTAGGCCTACATAAACTACATTGAAAAGGTTTGCCTTTTACAGTAGAACATGACTCAAACGGCACCCGCTACAGCGGGACCATCCCTACAGCGGGACCTTACCGGAATCCCCCTTTTTTTCTATGTAAACTCAATTATCTCTGCTCGGATTTAGCGGGGCGAGGAAAGGCCCGAACTCGGATACAGCAGGAGTGATCGAGCGAGTTCTAGCTGGGGAGAAGGGGGTTGGGGGGCTATAGACGGGCTCCAAACTGGCAGTCAGTGGTGTGATGTTGTGATTGGCCTGTCCAGTTAATATGTGAGATGGGGCAGGCGGCAAAGAGAGAGAGAGAGAGAGAGAGAGACGCGTTAGGCCCTGCGTGGTCCACTCCAAAAGTGATGTGATGTGGCTTAGACTTAGACGCTCAGTATGAGAGCGTATAGACCATAGCCAAAGGCCTAGGCTAGGCCAAAAAATAAAAGAAGAGGAAAGTGTGTTGTGTGTGATTCCTGAGTCAATGAATTGCGTTCGTTGATGCTCATAGGCATATGCACGCATCCACTTCACCAGTTCTACTGTAGGCCTACTGGTACGACAGACAGCACAAACAATGAGACCGAGAAAAAGATAAAGATGGCTTCCAACAGAGACAAAAGGAAATGTTTCTCACTCGAATTAAAGGCCGAGATAATCGACGAAGTTGACAAGAAAAGGAAGACTAATAATACTAATATAAAGCGCAAACTTAATTGATCATTGATAAGGAAGGGAGGTGATCATGTGGATTTTAAGAAATTTTTAGGTAATTTCCTCTTTGCATTCCTATAGCGGGAACTCGCCAACAGTGGGATTTTTCTTTTGGAACCAAATATCTCGCTATAGCCGTGTTCTACTGTAGACGGTTTAGGCGGAGTGGAGTTTCTTCTGGTGGTGGGCCACTCGACATTCTAGTGCAATAATGTGGTCTTCATAAGACCCGCCTTACTAACCCCTTGTGCATGGTAACTTTATACAATTTTAACTACCACCCACACACCCTGATGCGCATGTTTACGCAATCAGGAGGGGCGTCACTCCTCCCCTCCCCACCCCCAGTAAAATTTTACCATCCTTTTTCAGGACCAAACCATTTTAATATGGCCAGTGACAGTATTCAGTACACAAGCCTGTATAAATGCAGAGGAAAAATGTATTAGTATTGTATTGTGGATTGTTGTGTTGGAGAATAGTCTAGACCGTTGAGGAAAAACAGTTATCTGACTGGTCTGGTGGTAGACCATTTACTGATTTAGGAGACAGAAACATCGCCATAGACCTTCAAGAGGACCGGCTCCAAGTCTCTTTCATTTTAGAAGTAACAGTTCTCGGTTACTAAAAAACCTTTTAGTGGTTAGGCTCTGGGATTCGCAACCCTAAAGTCGTTGGTTTAAATCCTGTCACAGTCCTGATGTTATGTCCTTGAGAAAGGCACTTTACACAAACTTTCTTCTTTTCACCCAGAGAGGAATGGGTACCTAGCTAGAAAGTGAAAGATCTTGTCAGTTTGTTAGTGTTTGAATGCATGCAATCTGCAGCTTGCACTGAAGCTGAGAATATTTCTGAATGTTCTAGGGTCTCTTTGGGGTAATAATAGTTGTAAAGCGCATAGAGCAAGCTGTAGAGCATGGATGTACCCCATATAAATGCAATTATTATTATTATTCACTTTAAAAAATGTTGCTACTTAAACTTAATGTTCTTTCTTCATCAGTTTTTACTTTCGTTCAGTGTCATCAATGCTATTTTGGCAGGTGTTCTAGATTGCCCTGTTTTCCATCACCATATCTGCCTATATCTATTTCAGATCAACAAAATGGACCTCAAGCTGGACCAAACCATCGTCCTCTTGAATATTCTTGTACGTCAACAACAAAATCAACTTGATCAACAGCTAATACGCCCTCAGAATGAACAGGAGCAGAGTGCAACAGATGTAGTTGGTAACTCATAGCATCAACTCTTCACTCATTACGCTCATTGATTAAGTGTAATTTGTGTAATGGGACCAATGTAAATAACATCAATTCCTGTGAATTTAAGTTATTGTTTTTAACTTCCTTGTCACTCATTCACGATGATGGATGACTGCACAGTGTTCCTGATGAAGCAGTACCCTCAAAAATGCATTTCAAAGTTTTAACACTCATTTGAATTTAAATGTAGAATGTTACTGACTTCAGAAGAAATATTCCTTAACTCTCAGATGAATGAGCACAAGGATTAAAGTTATATTGCGTACATAATCCAGGGTAGTGCTGCGATAAGTAGAAAGAAATATACACAAATTTGTCAATTTGGTGGCTTGAAAAGATACCAATTGTTCTTTTGTATTATATTAAGTTTTTCAGGATTGTCCTTCAATAAGACCTGGATCAGAGAATTACATTTTCGAATGTAGATTTGTCTTACAAAATAAATGCTTTTGAAAAAAATATAAAGTAACTGGATGCACTTAGTTTAATACTTTTCTTTTAACATCCAGCATTATAACTGATCGTGTTCGCCAGTGAAGGCAGTTTGTTAATGAATCTCCTGAGCCTGAGCAATATTATTTTAGGATTGAGTAGAGATTTATTTTTTATTTTATCTGTTTGACTGAATTTTATGTTACTTTGTGTATATATATTTTATTGTAAGTGTTTCAGTACATGCTTTCTGTTTGTTTTAGAACATGCTGTGCTTCACCTAAGAAAGGATTGTGATAGTGTGATATATAATGCCTTGAAGGCTCTTCATTTTAATATCAAATGCAGCTCAAATGTAGTCTTACTTGGAACATGAATTTATCAACAGCTGGGTTTTTTAACAGACAGCAATCAAAGAAAAACCATGTATTAGAATTAAGTTTAGCAAATAAATGGTTTTGTAATCACATTAGCAGTCATTTCTAGTAGCCATACTTTCAACATTGAAGTTTTATGTCGTTGGATTTGGTACATGTAACGTAAATCTGTTAGCCACAGTGCAGGCGAGGCAGAGTGGGCGAAACGGTGAAAATTAATAAAAAGGCAAAGAGGTGACGAGCCACACCAAGAACGGCACGATTCAAGGCGAATCAGGGGGGAAGAAAGTGATCCAATGGCGGTTTATTTATTATCGCTTGCATAGCTTGAAATTTACTCATGTCTGCATGCATATTGTTATTAAGTGTCAATAAAAGAAATAAATAAAAATCAAAGAGAGATGGGGAGAGAGAGAGAATAACATTTTTTTAAAGTAGACGTTTTTAACACACACACACACACACACACACACACACACACACACACACACACACACACACACACACACACCCATGGCAAAAAATTTAGTAGGCGGGCTTCCGACCCTATCTACCATGGCCAACCTGGGTGAGGCATACGAGGAGAGAGAGAAAGAAAGAGAGAAAGAAGGAGAAATAGAAAGAGAATGAAAGACAGACAGAAAGACAGTGGGAAAGAAAGAAAGACAGAAAGAAAGAGAGAGGGGGGGGGGGGCGTGAGAGAAAGAGGGAGATGAATTAGTGTGCATAAAGGGAATGTTTAGAGAACGATGAATAGGTATAGTGTGCGTGCTCAAGCGTGTTCTACATTAAGACGTGAGTAAATTTTAAGCTATGTGAGCGAAAATAAATAAGCCCGATTTAATGGCGCTCGTAGTCGCTTGAAATTTACTCACTTCTGCATACAGAACATGCCTGAACACACACACAGTTTTGATACCACACAAGACACAAGATCAACTCAAATTAAATGACAAGCAAGAAAGGAAAAAGAAAGTACGTGACAGCTTGATAAAGAAAGATGTGAAAAGAGAGTAAAGTATTGTGGAGACTTATCAGAACATTGGCTTGTAAACTTAGTACAGACGAATTAACGTTTATTTACAAGCGCCTTAGATACACTTGTGTGCATTAACAATAAAACAACATTATTTTAAACTGGACTACTTTTGCATGCAGGTGTCGTGTAACATAGTCGCTATACTATTAATTTAGTGTACTCTTAACTCTTTCTTATTTCACACAAGATGTTACATACTGAATAATATCTTCTCATTATTATCTAACAACATAATTATATATATCTTTCGACCCATTGTTCACCCCAACATTCTCTTTGGCTACTCTTTCCATCTGTCTCTCTCTCTCTCTCTCTCTCTCTCTCTCTCTCTCTCTCTCTCTCTCTCTCTCTCTCTCTCTCTCTCTCTCTCTCTCTCTCCCTCCCTCCCTCCCTCCCTCCCTCCCTCTCTCTCTCTCTCTCTCTCTCTCTCTCTCTCTCTCTCTCTCTCTCTCTCTCTCTCTCTCTCTCTCTCTCTCTCTCTCTCTTGCCTGTATGGGCTAACCCAGGGTGAGAGTTATGCAACCTCCAAGCAGAAAGACCAAGAAACTGTATAAAAATTCTTGCTCACTCGAGATTAGAACTTGGGTCGTCTACGTGAGACAACGAAGTGCCTAACCGCTATGCCACAGACACATTTTGTTTGTCTGTGTAGAACATATTACGTTATATGTGTATAAACAGAACAAAATGCTCACAGCTAAAGGGATTTGAAAACAACAACAACAATTACAACAATATATGTGTGTAGGTGTGTTATAAAAAATATGTATGTGTGCGTATGTGTGTGTATGTGTGTGTTAAACTATGGGTTTAAAACTCCATTTATATTGCAAAACCAAGATTTTATCGTTGATTTGCTTTTAAACATGCTGAGGATTTTATGATTATTATGTTCCTTTTTCCCATTCACCACATCAGGATAAAGCATGAAAGAAAATAACAAATTTAAAAAAGAAATTAAATGCCTCTCCCTCGTACTATATTATGTCTGATCCTTCTTTCACTTTCACTATCCCCTCTTCTTATTCAGATATCTGTGGAAGAATTTGCTGTCAGTTGATTGGGTGCATCCATTCCTTTCTTGCTTTTATTTCTGTTGAGTCTCCCCATCAGCCAGGACAAATAAAGCCAATCTTTTCCTGTCCATGTTCAACTGAAGAAACTGATATGAAAATGAAATGCCACACAATGTAGTATTGCACCGTCTGCTTCGCCTTGACTTACCCTGCCCCGCCCCACCCTGCTCCGCCTCGCCTACAGTATGGCCAGAGCCTGACACATGTAAGCTTATGTATTATGTATTATAAATGGAGGGATGAAGGTTTGGGGTTTTTTTTACAAAGAGATGCCTTTCTTTAAAAATTCTAGAACATCAGATGTAATTTATTTTTATGCAAATTGAAACCATGTTTTATGTAATTGTGAACCTATTTTTTAAGCTTTGACTTTTGATTTTTTTTTCCGTTGTAGTTTGCAAATACTTACTTTTCAGAGTTTATTTTGGATAAATTCACTTTCATGCTATCTAAAGCAAAAATTTTGTGTATGCTTTTGAGGGATGTACAAATTGTAAAGAAAACATCCTCTTCGTCATGTTTAAAAAAATGCTTAGCCAAAATTTAGATCAAATGCAGATCAAGACAGACACAAAATTGTTATTAAATATTATCAAATATTTAACTTACCCCCCAGGGCAGTGCTACTCACTGAATTATCTTTAGGCCATTCCTTAAGGAGGGACATTAACTTGTTTTTATGTGCAGTAGAATTGGAAATGGGCTGATTTATCAAAAGTCATGCTCATACTGTGCCGGAACAACGTAGAGGGAACTGCTGCTTTTTCTTTCCTCATCCTTACTATCATCTTTTTCCTCTACTTCTTTTGCATGTTTGTCACTCTCTTGTGAACTGCTATTTCTGGGATGCCTTGATAGTTGAAGTAGACTTTGTGCTGTGAGGCTAGAGAGGTGAGCTGAGTAAGCCTGATTCCTTGTTTGGACTTCTCTGTTGACATCCACCCATTGGCACTCATATGACCTTAAGCAGTTGTGAGTGCCGTAAAACTTTACTAAAACAAACAGTCTTTATTATATCTATATTGTTTGCTGTACTGTAAGCCTCTCTTCTTTACCCTGGTAAAATCTCATTAGTAGAAAGCTTGAGCATGTTGCTGGTTAGCTACAAAGACTTTGCAAATCCATCTTCACTGATCATGTTGAGACAGTTTTTAGCTTGGCTCACTGTATCCATCTAATAGAAATAAATACATGATATCTCAAATGTTGTGCCCTGTGGTGCAGAGTGACTTATATCATTGGGAAGGCTAGATGAAGCTCCTAAATACATAAATGTACCAGAAAAATTGTCTTTTACAGTGTGTCAGTCCTTTAGAAAGGTACCAAAGACTTGAAAGAGAAATGATATTGAGTCTGAGGCTTATACTTGTAGTTCATGAAGGTGAGTTTCCAATACAAGTTAATCATAGCAGTTTTCCTTGTAATTTTTTTCATACTAGATATGGTACATTTACGCTTCCGTGTGGCTATGAGAGGTCTCCAGTCTCCCATCTTCTTAAGACACAAAAAGTTTTCAACAAAAAGTACTTTATTTTAACGTTTGAGAAATGTCTCACAAATCCCCTTGGGATGGACTCGCCCCTCCGCCCAGAGTTTCATCCATCCCAGTAATGAAACCTCAGCAGAGTTTCTCTAACTTTATCCGGCACAAACCTCTTGTGAGTGTCAGATGTCTTTATGAACCCCTACCTTTTTAAGACACGAAAACTTTTTCATACAAAAAGTATTCTGCTTTTAAATTTCAGAGACATAAAGCCTCTTAGAATGGACTCATGCCCCCCCCCCCCTTACCTTTACATGATGTGTGTGTTTGTGTGTGTGTACATGGGATCTGTTTATGTGTTCCTGCATATTAAGTGTATGGGTACATATATAATATATGTGCGTGCGCATGTGTGTGTGTTTGTGTATGTGCATGTGTGTATGTGTGTGTGTGTGTTTAATTTGCAGATCCAGCTATTTTTAGAATTTGTTGTGAGTAAGGATATAAAAAAGTAAGCTGAACATAATGAGACACCAAAATACAAAAGATGACTCGTAATCAGCAGCATTATTCAGATTTTCTAATGTAGGCTATTTGCCCTCAGAAGGCTTAAATTATGATGGAAGAGAGGGTGGAAGTGGTTCATTTGGAATTTTCATGCACGTACATTAACTTGAAACTTACGACATGTGAATGTGACATTTATGTCATATATTTGATAATGCACCTTGCACTTATGTTCCATCTACTTTCTCTTGAACAATTCCCAGGCAACGTCATTGATTGATTGGTGTGCATGTTGGACTTTGTTTTCTTAACTATCCTTTGTACTTCCATTTTTCAAACAGACAGAGGAAGGTGTTTAGTTTTTTTATTTTCAACTGTATACCAGGTTTCGATTTTAAGCACCTTCTCTTCTGGCTGATTTCGACTTTTGAGATGGGTGTCAATCTTTTTTTCTTTTTCGCTAATGAGCTTAGGTTCAAAACAAGGTTAAACATGTTTTGTTTTATAGCTCAGTATATATATATATATATTCAATTCTGAAATTTAAAAGATTGACTAGTGAGCGTCATACTCTGTCAGGGCAAAGATACATTTTTCATTTTCATTTCGTGACAAATTGAATTTGACACTGTGATCATGAGATGTCAGTCTAGCATGCACTTAACGGGATTGGTGGGATAAGGAAATCTTTTCATCATGTACCAATCTATGATCTATAGGCTATGTATATGTACGATGTACATGTTTTGAACACCAAATACCAAAAAATATACAGAAAAAATTTGAAACCTTGAAATCTGTTTGCTTTTTGTGTGGTGATCCATTGTGTGCGTTCTATACTGTATCTATGATCTTAGCATCTCATCTTCTTCTTTGGAAATCTGTTTAAGATCTGAATTTTCACTTCTGTTTAAATTTTATGTTGTCATGCTTATTTCACATCCATCCAAGTCTCTCATATAATTTTGGAAAAGTAGTGGAAAGTCTTATTACATGTATTTAGTTAACAAAATTCTTTTGGCTCTTTTACTCACGCACATGCATCCACTTTGGAGATAAGCGAAATATATGAAAGTGGTTCTATAATGGTGTTCTTTTCAGATAATGTTCATGTATTCGAAAACCAGGTGGGTTTTTTTTTTATTGTTGTACTTACTTTTACTTTTAAATTACACTTTTCCAACTCTGCAGCTCTTTCAATTGAAATGTATAGTTTCTCTGGGTTCTTGGTACGAAAGAAACAGAGGAGAAAATTTTTTGTTGTAAATTGTAAGCATCATATTTTGCCTCTTGTTTTCATCTGCCGAACCTATGTAATGTAACATGGTGAGGTGTAATGGTGCATTCCTTAAAAGGTATTGAGGTGTTGTCCTCTGTTGAATGCTAGCACAAAATTGAATTCAAAATTTCCTGAACATCATGTTCTCTGAACTCACAGCTCATTTTTTGCCATGCTTATAGATAGTAGTAGTCCTACTTAATGAATGTCCTTGCTATTTAAAACTTGCTTACTATCAGTTTGCCATTCAAATCATATAAATTCAAAAATTGGTTTCAATACTATTTTCGTGCCACAAGTCATTTTTCAGTAAAGAATAGTAAGAGACTTTATTTGTGCCATTTGTATTTCATATTATTTGCTTTGAACATTGCCCTTCTTTGCTTTATAAAATTATAGCTGCTTAAATTTTGTATCATGTGTAAAATTTGTTCACAACCTACTGCATTTCCATTTTATGAGTATGAATCAAACATAACTGCTTTATGCTGAAATAATTTCAGAGTAGGCAAGACACATTATTTGAATTTGTTTTAGTTTATGATGGTCAAAATGCCAGAGCTGTTTTTAATATTA